TGTCAAGACTAACTCGAAGGGGGAAAGAGAAAGAAATGGAAAAGGGGTGGTTACCCGGTAAGGAAACACTTAAGACATAAGTGCTTAGGCTGGTTTCTGTTGCTACTGACTGATTGGAATATGAGAACCACAAGTCAATAGATGCAGATACATATTAAAGAGAAAACAATTATTGGGCAGAGGTGGGAGGAGATGTGTTTTGCTTAGGACCATATTCAGGACATGGAAGAGTTTTAGAGGTCAGAATACAGCAGAATGTCTTCAAATTTAACTTGTTTGTTCATTTTCTACTTCCTTGTAGTGATTTGTCCATGGGTGAGTCAGAGACAGCCACATTACCTTGAGATGGAACTGAATTGTTACAGTAGTGATGAAAATACCAAGAAGAAACAATTGGGCCTTTCAGACTGATTTTTGAGACTCAAAATGGAAAGGTGTAAAGGCAGCAGAACATTGAATTTATGCCATGACAGTTAATTTACAGAGGTCGGAGAGGTAACTCCCTAGGGAAGGACACAAGAGGAGTTGTGATGCTCCTGAAGAGACCATTTTTCCATGGGCCTCTCACTCTTCTGCAGAAGCTTGTGGACCATTCTCCTGCACTGCATCTTTGTAAATCAAACATCACATAAGTAGACATGTCATTCTGGGACAGGGAGCATACATTTTTTTTCTTTTTTGAGATAGGGTGGATCTCTTCTCTCTTTCTCTCTCTCTCTGTCCCCCCTCTCTCTGTCTGTCTGTCTGTCTCTATATCTGTCTTCTCCCCTTCCCTCCTCTTCTCTCCTCTCTTATCCCTGACTGTCCTGGAACTCACCAGGAAGATCAGGAAGAATTTGAAGAGATTCACCTACCTCTGTCTCCTGAGTTTAGGGTTTAAAGCTGTACAAAACCAAATCAGCCTAGATATCTTTTCTAATCACTACAATATATTATTTCCCGCCAAGGCAAAAGTTGGATCTTTTCTCCCTAGCAATCTCATAATAAGTAGAGAGTTTCCCACATTTTGAACTCTTCAGCTTTGGTGGAAACACATCTATTTCCAGTATACCTCTGGGCCCATGTTCACATGCCTCCTTCAATAAATCAGGACTAAGAACCCAGTGAGAGTATGAGTCATTCTCCCTGCCACACCTGAGTCATTGGGTCAATTGTCTCTGTTTAGGACCTTCCTTGACTGCCAGGAAATGTAGAAGGGTATAGTATTTTGCAAGTAGGATAAAAATTGCAATGATCTCGACCATACTAGATCCAGAACAGGAGATAATGGCCATATCCTTGAAAAGGATTCCTTGTTGAAGAGGAGCAAAGTCAGGGTGGAAAGGTTGCCATGGACCTATGCACCAAAGGACTCTTGACAGTTTATGGCACTTGAAGTACATTTGCTTCCACTAGAGGAAACACTTCAACTCCTTGCCTCCTGAGTACTAGTTCCCTTTCCCGTGGCTTAGCAAAGTCAGGGTGGAAAGGTTGCCATGGACCTATGCACCAAAGGACTCTTGACAGTTTACGGCACTTGAAGTACATTTGCTTCCACTAGAGGAAATACTTCAACTCCTTGCCTCCTGAGTACTAGTTCCCTTTCCTGTGGCTTTAGAAATGTGTGTGGAGGGGTTCTGGGTAGCAAATGATAGAGTTGAAGGAGGTTCCTACTGCAGTGTCTGAGGAACAAGTGTCCAAATGGTCTCATATTGTGAGGACAGCCTTCCCCAGCTGCCAACAGTGCTACCCTTATTGCTAACCTTATAAAATTAAAACCAGTATGGGACACACAGACACCCTGGGGAGGAATTTCTAAGCTGAAGGTACATAGCTCTTCCCTGTCATTTTCAAACTCATAACTAGAGTGTCTCCTGTGGGTACCTGAAAATGGAGTTTCTGTCCCACCTGGTCCCACGGCTGTTTAGCTCCAAATAAACACGCAAAGACTTATATTAATTAGAAATTGTTTGGCCGATGTCTCAGGTTTCTTATTAGCTAGCTCTTTCTTAATTATTAACCCATTTCCATTCATCTAAGTATTCCCACGTGGTCTTATCTTACCAGAGAATCTTATTCCCTCAGCAGCTACATGGCATCTCTCTGGCGGCCTCTCTCTGCATCCTCTCCCCAGAATTCTCCTCATCTGGTAGCCCCACCTATACTTCCTGCCTGGCTACTGGTCAACCAGTGTTTTATTCATCAATCAATAAGAGAAACATATATACAGAAGTACATTTCCCCTTTAGGTACCCATCAGTTTCGAGAGCTCTGAAATTAATTGCCCAGATTAGCAGTGGTGCTGAAAAAGGGAAAATGGTTTCTAGTTCCCACTCAGGAACTGCATGGACATGAGAAGCCCCTCATCCAGCCATTACCTGAATAAGATGCTATACTTCAATGAGGAAGAACTCATTAATAATTGCTTATATTTTTAAATGGTGAAAAATAATCTCGTTAACTCAAGCATCTTCAGCTTTACATTTAGTACTGTGTGAAGGATGGAAGACACACTTGAATTTAAGAAGTATTCATTGACTGCTACATGGCAGACACTGTGCTAGCTTCTGGAGAACAACAAATGAATCCCACAATGATTCCTGCTCACAAACATCTTACAACCCTCCAGAGACAAGTACTTCAACTACTAACTGCAATAAAATATACTAAGCCAGACATGGAACTTGTTCTTGCACAAATATTTTATTCTTCATATTCAGCATCAAGAGTCCTCAAAAAGCTACAGTAAAATGTTTTGAAATACACAGATTAATGATACCAGAACAGTGCTATGTGGATTCTGGGACAATGTCCCTTGATTGGATCTCTAGAAAGCATTGTAAGTATTCATAAAACACAGGAAAAGTAGCTATATCAAATGAAAATATGGAATCCAAATGGATCAGTAAGAGCTATGACAAGGAGACTGGCTTGGTTGGAGAAGTGGAGAATTCACCTTTTGCTACTGCCCCTTGTTGAGTGACTCGTATTTAAAGTAAGGCTAGGGTGAAGATGGGATTTTTGACATGGGACAGTTTTTAGCTTTGAAAGAAGCATTAAAGCATCTCTCAGAGATCTTGTAGCAGCTAGAATCCTATCTGTTTGTTTTCTATTTCAACTCCACTTGGATGTTTATCACCCTCATTCAGTAGGGGATGAGGTCTTTCAATAGCACAAGCTAAAGGTGGGACTGCATCATCTCTTTAGAAGGAAAACAAAAGACAAATCCTAAATCAGAATCCCTGTAGTAAACATGTCTGAATCCCTATTATGTATAATACACTGCAATAAAAGTAAACACATCTTGTTTAAATAAAAAATATTGTGTGATAATAGGTAATAAATATAAAAGATGACTTTAAATCAAGCTTCAAGAAAATATCTAATTTGGAAAATAATCGTTTCATTTCACCTGTAGTATTTTTGTAACTCCTTCAAATACATGCACTCTTCCACTCAATAATTATGGTCATTAAAGGGGAAAATACATGAAATATGCATGTCAGTATCATATGTTCTAAAGGTCCAATTGTTTACATGTAAAATCTGGAAATGTAAAATAACTATTGACTAATATGGAAGAGAAAACACACACAAGACTTCAGCCGTAGTTGAATTTTCTGCTGAAAAGCTAGTCTGTAGCTGTAACATGGTGACACCTGAAAAAGCAAAAGAGAGTAGGACAATAAGGAACGTTTGATAAGACAAAGACCCCAAATCAGTAACAGAAACAGCTGAATGCAGGGCTCATAATCCAGACACACCAGAGGCTGTCTCCTCTACAAAGTTGAGTTCTTCCGGTGTGCTTTGTCTCCTGCCCTTAAATACTGTCTCATCTATATCACAGGAGTATTTATCTTGTTTTCTCTGAGGTTTCCTGTGAGCTGGAGAATAGTAGTGAAGTAGTGATGTCACTTCACACTGAGCAAGGATTACAATGGGAGTGACTACTCTTTGTTTTAGTAGTGAAGTAGTCATGATGTCACTTCACAGTGAGCAGATCTTGTCTTAGAATCCCATACCCTAGAGCCCCTGCATGTAAAAACATTCAAGGGAAGGCTCTTAATATCATTGTTTGTCCTATTTTATTTTCTCATCCTAGAGCAGCATTCAAGTTAAATCCCATCTTTTTAGAATAACAATCACTTCCCTATCATATTTAAAGGAATTAATCATGGAAAGCTTTTCATGAATTCATAAAGAACAGTGGTTGCTAACTCACAAGATATGCATGTACTTTTGGAAAAATAGGGAAAGATTTTAATTATGATACCATTGCTTTTATTTGTCAGCCAAACAAGCTAGAATAATAATGTTTTTAATATTGCATACCTGCTGCTTCTAAAACCATACCTATTTGCTTGATAAGAATGCAAAAACTGAAATTCAAATCTTAACTATAAATACATTTTAGATGTTTTCTTATAAGGAAAATGCTGTCTTTGCTAATATTGTAACTTGCTTTTCTAAGTGAGGAAGTTCAAGATAAAAAATATACACACTTTTCCCTCAAAAGAACTACTCTTAACTTCCCACTTATCCCAAATAATTAACATATATCTTTACATATAGTTTTTCATATAACCTGCCTATATGACCAGACCTGGAAATAATACATAAGTAAAGCTCTGTGTTATTTCATTAATTTAAAAATCCTTCTGAGTGACAATTCTATGATTGATGTACTTCTCTTTCGGAAGCTATGTTTCAACATCATTACCATCAAATAATACATAAGTAAAGCTCTGTGTTATTTCATTAATTTAAAAATCCTCCTGAGTGACAATTCTATGATTGATGTACTTCTCTTTAGGAAGCTATGTTTCAACATCATTACCATTATTTATTTTAAAAACCAGACTAAGAAATGCCTGAGCCAAATCTAAATATTTAATAGTGATGAGTATAATCAAAACTGAGGGCTGAATTCTAAGAAATCTTTTCAAAAGCTTTCCTGCATGACTGTGTGCTTGGAAAGATCCTGGGACGGAAGCGGCAGCATTACCTGGGCTCAGAGGCTCTCAGCCCTTGTGGGAATTAGGGAGCGAGTTTTTGTGCTCCTCGTAGTCTGCAAATGCAGAAGCCATATGTTCTGCCTGCAGAGAGAGAGGTCTGGGGTCCTCATTCATGGAGAAGGTATTTGGAAGTCTCCCAAGATCGAGTCCTCTGCCCCTAAAATAGGCCTGAAGGCTTCTGAAAAACTAGAGACAAGAAAAAAAAAAATGCTCAGTGCCTTTAAATGCAGCATCCAAGCGCCCAGAGCCCCGTGTTTATTTCCCTGCCTTTCTTCTCCCCTAACTGAGTTAAACACTAACCAGAGAAGCCGGAAGTTGACAATCTAGAATGGCTTTAAGCTTCTCCTGTTTCTTTTTGGTCTGCCAGCTTTCTGGCATTTCAGCTCTCACAGGACAGTTCAGCATTCCTGGTGGCAAGCCAGGGAAGGCATAACCGATTAAATCACACTTCAGGCCAATACTCGCTGAACCTTCTCTGACCAGCAAGGTGAGAGATGAAACCAAACTCCACGGTGGTCAGCTCCTTTTCTCCTCTGCATGAGGGGACCCCAGTTACTGTGCTGGACCACTGTCTCTGTTTCAGATACCTTTTAGCAAATTAACAGTTGTGCAGAGTGCTAATGGCTGGATAGCTTCTAGCCTACCTTGTTGTAGATCACATCACTTACTTTAGAAAACCTACATTTGAAATAGACGTGTCAACAATGTTGCTAATCTAGGTATACTTTTAAAAGCATGTTTTACTGATCTTTTAAATTCTGTTTTCTAGGTGTCTGTATGCTTAAAATTGACAACTGCACAGGGTCCACTTCCAGTTTCTGCAAATAAGTTTTGCAAACGCTATTGTGGGGTAATCCATTTTATCATCACAAAGTGATTCTTTCTCATTTTCCCTTTCCCCATCTCCACCTTCTCCTCTGCCTCTCCCCCTTTTTCTGCTGTTCCAAACCCAGGTTTGTGCATGCTAGACGAGCTTTCTGACACCAAGCTAAGTCCCAATGCTCTTTTCATATTGTTTGCATATTAGAATTAATGATCTAATGTTGGTGTATGTATAAGATCACTTAAAATGCGGTGGGCTGTGTATGTATAAAGTCACTTCTATTTTAAATTTGTTTCTCCATATAGAAACAAATGTAACTTAGAGAAATGGTAGGATGCCAGCTACTAGGAAAGCAAAATTCAGTCCTGTTCTGATGAGAATCTTCTCAACTCTTGGTTGCCTACATATAATTATTGAGAGGCGCCAGCTGCATCCCTCAGCCAGTGCTCCCCAAATGTGTTCTTACCAGTTCTCTGTTTCTGGGGTTGCTCAGTGGCTTCCACGAATCTTCCTTTCTCATCATGGCTCCATGTCCATGGCTGGTCAGTACCAGGGCAGCCCAGAGCAGCAGAAGGGATGCTTTGGACATGGTGCTGTATAAAACGGGGAGCTATGGTCACCAAGACAGTCAGAGAGAAGAGAAACAAGGATCCAGGCAGATAAAGGAGAAGAAATAGCATATTGGTTTGCCTAATTTTATAACCATTTTTTTGTTTGTCTACTAATGAGGCTCTTGAAATTTAGTGGACTAGCTTAAAACACTTCACAAGGATGAAAACACTATATTGAGTAAAGCAAGGTGACTGTACCTAGAAAGTCTAGTTATGCCATCTGCATCTTTAAATTATGTAGTCTCAAAAAGTGCAAAATTTAAAATTAGAAAATTTTAACTCTAAAAATCTTGTGTCTTAAGTCAGCAGATTTTTTCAGTGGAAACGAAATGGTAGAGAAATAGAAAGTGCTTTGGCTAGGTATATACCTCTATGGTAGAGTGATTGTTTAGCATTCACAGAGCCCTGGGTTCAATCCCTGGTTCTACAAAAAGAGAGAGAGAGAGAAAGACAGATACAAAGAGAGGGGAAGAGAAAAGGAGGAGGAGGAGGAGGAGGAGGAGGAGGAGAAGAAGAAGAAGAAGAAGAAGAAGAAGAAGAAGAAGAAGAAGAAGAAGAAGAAGAAGAAGAATTTAAAATAGCAACAAAAAAGGTTACTTAAAGCACCCTAAACTGAGAACTGCCTCCAACATACACATCTCAGACAGACAGACAGACAGACACGTCCCACAGCAGAATGAGTAGAGATTATTTTCCATCTCATGTTGTGACATGGAAGCTGAAACACAGACAAAGACAATAAAGCTTACCAAGAGTTTGGTTTCACCTGGCCCTGCCTACGATCTGCCAGTGATTCCCGGGTTCTTATAACCAGTGGACAGGCTGCAAGAGGGAGCCTCTGACGTGAGCAGAGGCAGTTCAAAAATAATGATTCTGTTTTCATCCATGGCACAGAGACCCTTGAGAGGCAGGTCTCCCAGCATCTTCAGGGGTAACCTAGTTATCTTTTAAGTGCATCAGCTGCTTCGGGAACCATTGGCCATATTACATGAATTTTATAAAATACATGAGCCACTTCCACACAGCAAAATGGCTCTCTCTTTTCTCACGTTTAGGCTGGGAATATGATGATGATTATCTCATCTAATAAGGTTACTTTGAGAGATATCAGTTTTCAAATTAATAGCATTTTTTGAACAAGAAACTCTATTGCAAAAGACAAAATTGCTCTTTTTGACCTCCACATGGTATCTTCTTCTTAGAAATAGTGGCATGGTTTATTATAATAGCCCATTCAAGGTGAAGCAACCAGATAGCATACACTTCACAGGAAAATGAAAAATGACTATACCTACACTATCTCCTTGCTAAATAAGAGCCATCTGAAGGAAATGGTAGGGCAGAAAAATTGGACTCGATGGCTTGTGAATTTTCTGTGGTTCCAATGATTCAGAACGAAATTCAGGACAAACTCAATGTTCAGAAGTCTAGTGATCAGAACTGTAAATTACAATAATTGGCTGTGTTTGTCAAGGTGGTGCATGCCTGTAATCTCTGCATTTTGGAGGTAGAGATAGGATGATCAGGCATTTAAGGACAGCCTAGGCTACATTTTGAATTTGAGACCAGCCTTGAATACATGAGATCGTGTCTCAAATAAACAAAAACTGGCTATTGTTTCAGCTTTGCTACCTTGACCAATAACAAATTTATGACACTCATCTGTTCATTTTTTTGTTCAATAAGCAAATGTCTTTCTTTTCTTTTCTTTTTTTTTAATTTTTGAGACAAGAGCCCCCTATGTAGCCCAGGCTAGCCTCAAACAGGTAATCTTTCTGCTTCAGTCTGGTGGATGCAGTAAGTACAATGTGTACCACCACACCTGGCTCATTATTGCTGAGTCCTTACTGTGTGGGGGTCATTACACTAAGCTTTGAGGGCTAAATGGTGAAGTCCCTGCTCTCAATGACCAAAGCTGAACAGAAGACCAAAATTTACTCCATCACTATTCTGTGCATTGTTTAGATAGCGGCAACTGTTTGTGGCACTGTCGGGTGAATCCAGGACCCTATACATAGTAGACAAGCAGCCTACCACTGAACTATATCCCCAATTCTTGGTGGTTTTGAGACAAGGTCAGTCTGTCTGTGAATTGGGGATCCTTCTGCCTCAGCCTTGGAATGGAGTCCTGGAATTGCAGGTCTATACCACTATACCCAGTTCGTGATGAAAATTTCCATTGGGAGAACGTGTAGAATTGGGGATATGGTCGGGTGTTGGTGACGCACACCTTTAATCCCAGCACTCAGGAGGCAGAGGCAGGCAGATCACTGTGAGTTCAAGGCCAGCCTGGTCTCCTGGTCTCCAGAGCGAGTGCCAGGATAGAGGCTCCAAAGCTACACAGAGAAACCCTGTCTCGAAAAACCAAAAAAAAAAAAAAAAAAAAAAAAAAAAAAAAAAAAAAGAACTGGGGATATGATTCATTCTCAAGGGTAAGAGAAGGCTTGTGTGAGAAAGTGACCTTCCTTCTAGTCAATTGATTATGAGTTACCTAGGCAACCTCAGGAAGGCAGAGGAAGTGGCTTTCAAGCAAGCTGAGTAGCTGTGCTGGCGGGGAAGACAGCGCCTTTAAGCAGCTGAAAAAAATAACTTAGCAGGCCAGAAGAGAGATAGAGGGGGCACCTGGGGAGGGAGATGGGGTAGGAGAGGCAGTAGGAGCATAAGATCATGACTGCAAGAAATGCTAAGAAGTGATTGGAGAGTTTTAAACATCTAAACAGCTTAATCAAACTGGCATTAAAAAAGAAAAAAAGATTCTGGCTGCAGTGGGAAGAGGAATATGTGATGTCAGATAAATGGTAGCTGCAGTACAAGCAGAAAAGGGTGGGTTAGGGCAGCCTCAGAGCTGGGTGGATCTGAGCAGCATTTGAGAGGGAACAGAGCTAGTGAGAAGGGGGTTTCAAAACCAATCCCTGTGTCTGTGGATTGTGCAGTGCATGGTTACAGTGCCATTCCCGGAGAAATGAATAACGGGCATGAAGGAGTGACAGTCACTGTTGCAAGTTGAGTTTGAGATCTCGAGATCTAGCAGCACTGGGCAGTGTGAGAATGCATATGCAGATCCAAAGCCCAGAGGGATACTGGGTCAGAAAAGGAACTGTAAGTGGCAGTTAATGTAGAAACTGATCAGACTATCACAAAGAAGCCCAGGAGACCAAGGACTTGAATTTGAGATTACGTAACACGATAACCTCATACAAGACTCTTCAAAAAGAGACCCTGGGGGTCGGGGAAATCGGGGATCAGGGAGGCAGGAGCAGAGAGGTTCAGAAAGGGCCATGCTGGAGAAAGTGAGCACTGAATAGGGTCTGGGGACATTGGAGCTGCAGGGGTGAGGTGAGAGATGAGAGGGGAATGGGGGGACGGGAGATGCAGCAGGGTGCCCAGCCCTTGGGGAGAGAAGAAGGCAGGAACTATAGGGAAAGTGGAGTCCAGGGGAGGCATCCATGATCAGTTCTGTTTGTTCAGACCTGGTGTATCCCAAGCTGAACTTGAACTTGAAATCTTCCTGCCTCTCAGGTGCTAAGATTGTTGTTATTATGCGATTTTTATAGAGATTGATTAAACATCAGTGGCTCTGTGAGTAAATGAAATTTACTATGAAAAATACTCTGAAATTTCTTCATGTTGTTCTCCTGGACTTTTAATTAAAGATTCTAGTAACATTGAAGTCCCAGATTGTTCATAAACACTCTGGACAATGCATATTTAAATTTTTTTTCTACTTTTTATTAAGAAAGAGTCATAAAGCAATCTAAACCATAAAAAAATTAAAGACTAACATTCCTGGGCTTTACAAAGGCATAGTTTTCATTTCTTGACTATTTTAAGATCCAAATAAATTTATTGAATATGTTATAACCCTATTACATTTCTATATCATTAAGAAAAGGCAAGAACAATGAAAAATGTTCCCGATATTGCATAGAGAATCTTCCCTGCAAACAGTAAAGAAATACTGTTTTTAAATAGGATCTTTGTATTAAATTTTAAAATATTAAAATAGTTGTGAGTTGCTTCCTAGAAAGAAAATACCAATAAAATATAATTTATTTTTAATGGGAAGTTTTTAACTCTTCTGTTAGTCAAGAAAGACTAAGGCTCGAACCCTCCAAGTATAAAGCCTTTTCTGTAATGTGAGTGCTTCAGATAACAGCCAATGCTGACAGAATTCAGCCTGATGCACAGACATGGAGCTTTTGAAATAGAAAAAAGCGACTGAATAAGTCAGGTATCCCACAGCCACTGGTCCTAGTATTTCTCATTTTGGTCCATGTGTATGAGAATGCAATTTACCTATTCTCCATTTTACTCTCAGACTTATTTAATAAAAATCACTCTAAGATCAGCTGAGAGATGATTTGATCCATCATGTAATCCCAAGATCTTCCTATTCAAGAATTATTTATAGCTCCCCAGAGTAAAAATGGAGATATATGATAGTGTAACCCATTAACACAGAGTTTTCCTGGTTGCTAGAAGAAATTACCTATTACAGAAACAAGCTTAAATTTTCTCTTTCATTCATTAACGTTTTCTTTTATTTAACTAGTTAGTTAAGTGGTGCTAGGTCTCAAACCCAGAGCCTGGTACTTGCAGGACTAGCAATCCAGAACTGAGCTACAACTCAGCCCTGGCTTCTTTGTGACTTGGACTCCCATACAGCCCAGACAACAGGCACAACCACACCAGTTCGGTCTTTCAGTGCTGGAAACTGAGCACAGCGCCCCACACAGGCACATGGTCTGCTTCTTACAGCCTCAGGCCCTTTTAAGTTTTAGCTCTTATTTTGACATAGCGTCTTGATTGTAACTCAGGCTCTGTGATCATTCTGCTTCAGCCTCCAGAGGAACTAGAGTTACAGGTGTTTGTTTCTTAAGTCTCCATTTAAAGAGCAGAAATGTACCATTGATGATTGACACTTTTTTTCTGAATATACCAATAGTGACTAGTGGATATTTATAATTAATTGTAGATA